CTTCTTCTTCTTCTTCTTCTTCTTCTTCTTCTTCTTCTTCTTCTTCTTCTTCCTCTTCCTCCTCCTCCTCCTTCCTCTCTCTCTCTCTTTCTCTCTCTTTCTCTCTCTCTCTCTTGTGTGTGATCTATCCATCTCTGCGGGAACAGGCTACCCCTGAGCTTTCGTGTGTGTGTGTGTGTTGGAATGTGTGCTCGTGTGCTCACAAGAGCTTTGCATGTGTGAAGGGTATCACAAAAGCAACCACAGGAAGGCAATAAGTTGACCAAAGCCTAGGAAGTCGTAGGCCAACAGGACATTTAGGAGAACCCAGCCAAAGAGGTCACAGTCACTCACTCCAGAGAATCCAGGCCTCTTGACCAATTAAGTGGACCTGGAAGTCCACACTTTGGGATGATTTTCAAGTTTCCTAAGATCCACAACGTGCAGTGTCATACAAAGAACATTAGTGGGGCTTGGGCCTCAGAAGGCAGAGATTCTGTCAGGCAGGAAGAAGGAAGGAAGGGTGTAGCGAGACTCAGACAGAGAGCTGTGTTTTCCAGTGAGCTGTGGTTTCTTTCCAGGGTGCTACACTGGCCCTGAAGCCGGTGCTGAGGCCAAGGATTCCCTGCACACAAGTCCCTCCCTTAGGAGAGCACCAGCAGTCACCAAGAGACCAGAGGCAGCACACTCAGCGACAGGCCAAAGGGATCTCAGTTCAGCATGGTGCTGAGCCCCAAGAGGTCAAGGCACTTGCCTGAGGTGTCACAGAGCAGCCCTAGGCTTCCCAGGTTCCCAACACCCACCTGTCAACTGCCGATGCCCCCATGTCATGAAATACAGTCTCCAAGTAGTTCTGCCACACAGTGGCTCCACCCACTGCCATTTAATTTTCCAGAACTCTGTTTCCCTCACAACCCTCCAGGCCCTCAGCCTTGGTGACTTTCCCCAGAACTTTAAGACTTCACAGTGTTGAGCCTGGGAGGGGATCCTGGCATGAGCCCAGGACCACAGCCACAAGTGAGCACAAATGTCAGTGTATGCTTTATGAGACAGAGACTAACACAGTGGGGGCAAGGGTAGCAAGGGAGAGAAGGGAGAGAGAGAGAGAGAGATAGAGCAGGCAGATCTCTCTGAGTTTGAGGCCAGCCTGGCCTACAGAACAAGTTCCAGGACAACCAAGGCTGCACTGAGAAACCTTGAAAAACAAAACAGAACAACAAGACAATATGATTGCTTCCTCCCCCACCAGTGATACTGGGGATCCATTAAACTCAGGACCTCGTATATGCTAAACAACCACTCTACCACAGAGCCACACCCCCCAACCCTGGATGACAGATTTTCTGCCCTGCAGTTTCAGGAAGGAGTAGGGCGGGCACCCACAACCCTGTGGAAAAGAAGAGATACCAGAAAGTGAGCCCCTCTACCCAATCCTCAGTCGGCAGGGGCGGCCACTGCAGGCGTGAGTGCCCAGGGGCACTGGGACCTCCTGCCCCATCTCCACTGATGCCTGGAGTCCTATCAACTGGGTCCTTGTTCTGAAGGAATTTTCTGAGTCTACCTCACTGTCTTATTAAAACAATGGCCCTCTGGCAAAAGGGAAAGTTTCTCTGACCCTCTTCACACACCTTTTCTTTTCTTTCTTTCTTTTTTTTCCCTTTAGCGCCGCCTGGTACAGGGGCCACAAGGCCACAGAGAAACCCTGTCTTGAAAAAACAAAGCAAAGCAAAACAAAACAAACAAAAACAAGGGCCACATGTCACTCGTGGGCAGCCAGGTCTAAACAGAGGTGGGGGGGGTAGGACAAGGGTATACCCTCATGAAGTACCTCCACCCTTCATTTGGGAGCCCGGAGCTAAGAGTAGCATGAACCAAATGAAAAGCAAGGAGGGTGAGGCACCAGGTAGCGTGTACAGAGCTCTGAAGCCGGAGGCCAGAGACCGCAGAATCTGCAGCGGACTGGACTTAGGGTTGAGCGACAGGTGGTGAGACCAGAGCAGGCAAAGAAACTTACTCTTCCCACACAGGAGATTGTAGTGCCAGGGATGGGCTCAATGGCCTAGGATCTAGGCTGTAACAGGGATCAGGGGTCTGGGCTCCAGGGGCAAACCCGCGAGAACAGGACGCAGCCCCTCACCCTGTTCTACCAGCCCTGTTCCCCGCCCATGGCCAAGCAGACACCAGCTCGGCGTGGGTACCTGGCTGGCCCGGGAGATGCAGCGGCGGACCAAATCTCTGATGTTGTTGTGCTTGTCCGTTTGGAAGTACACGGTGGCGCTGGACTTTTCCTTCAGGTAGGGCTTCTCAGCCAAGGTCCAGTTGTGCAGCAGAGCCGGTTCGCTGCCTTCCGAAGCCACGGGGAAGTAGGTGCCGGACTGTACAGAGCAGGAGTCAGGTCCTCTGGAACCTGCCTCAGCCCCTCCTGCTGGATCTGGGCCACTGGGGGGCTCCTTGGCCTGGGCCTGGATGTACTGGGCCTCCGCCGAGGACAGGAAGTCTACCTCTCCTTCTTGGTTGAGAGTGTGCCAATAAGCCTCAGGACCCCCATCCAAGAGGGCGTCTGTGGCCAGCCGGGCACTCTCATTGTCGCTAAAGTCAGCTCTGGCTGGCCGGATCCACTGGTTCTTGACATCTTCCAGACGTTTCCGGATCTTGCCCACATGCCTTGACCGGCTCATGCTGCTGTGTCCCTCAGTCGCTGGGGGAGGCCAGCCCTGGAGCTCTTCAGGATGTAGGGAGAATGGCAGACAATACCAGGGAGGGACCGGGCTCTAGGTATTTCTAGGAAGCTCCGGGCTTCCTTCCCATACTGGCCTGCAGAATCCCTTCCTCACCTCTTGCCTATTTGGAGAACTGATTCCCTCTGCCCCAACAAGGCTTCTCCAGGATCCTCACCTGCAGCCCAGGGATTGGCTTATCTCGGAGGGTCACCGCCCTGCCCGCAGGCTAGGGGCTGGATCAGTCGCCGCCTTGGCACAATCAACCACGGGATATTTCCTCCGCTTCAGCCGCAGGCTGAGCAGGCTTTCCCACTTAGTTGCACAACTCTGAGAGCCTGGAGTCCCTCGGGCCTTTGTTACAGTGAGGAACTGCTCCTCCCTCACCCCGGACCCCCAACGCCACCAGCCCAAGGGATAGACAGGAGCCAGGATCACTGTGCTCTGGTTCCCTGTTGGCTTCTCGGCTCAAACTCTGATGGGTTCATATAAGGGCAACAAAAACCCCTCCTTCCCGTGCGTGTTCCCTTCTTGATGTCTCTTTGTCTAGAATTTGCCATTATCCTGTTTTCTCAGTCTGCAAAGAGTTTCCAAGTCCGGGGCTCAAGCTGACCTTTGGGAAGTATGGTTGCTGTTCAAGCTACTTCCTGGCCTGGGAACCCGTGACCGGAGGCAGGGATTCATTTGCGAATGAACTCTGTGACCTCTGCAGAAGTAACCTGTGCTTTCTCTCGAGACCAGATCCAGGCCAGTGGAGGGATGGAAGGAACAGCTGGAAGCCTGCCTTTCTCAGATTGGGTTCTACAGGAAATGGGCTAAGAGGAGGGCTAGGGCAAAGGTGTCTTGCTTGGAAGGGAACTCCAGAGAGCCAATGTGGAGAGGGACGGGGAATTAAACAGAAGGGAAGGACACTTGTCTTGGACAGGTTAACTCGTAGGTCACTGTTGTGGCCATCTGGGGTTCCTGGACATGATAGAACACACCTAGGGCTCGGTTCTCTGTGTGTTAAGATAGGGTCACATCTCTGCTTTCCTACCTGGAGGCTGAGGGGTCTGAAGTGTCTTACCGGCCTGCCTGTTGTCTAACCGTGACTGAGGGTCTCTCACGCCCGGGTTTACCCTGGCACCCGGCCTGCCTGTCATCTATCAGTGATGGAGGGTCTCTCAAGCCTGCCCGGGTTTACCCCGGCACCCCACCAGCCTGAGAGTCCACTAAGTGCAACCCTGTGATGACGAAGTGGCAGGCAGTGACAGGAAAATGTAACTGTGGGAGTGGTGACACTGGAGGACAGTGCCAGGCTCTGGCAATACCTGCTGAGGACCTGTGCCAGGAAACTCCAATCGTGTGTTTATGTTGAGGAGTTGGAATGAGGGGAAGAGCCGGCGCCTCTTCGGCATTGCTTCTCTCTGGAGGAAGACAGACCCAGGAACCTAGGACTGTAGAAAAGTGGCCCAGGTGGCTTGGTCCAGCAGGACAGCCACATGTTTAAATCAGAGTCCAATCCAGAGACAAGAAAAACAATTTTAAAAGGAATTTTTTCCTCTTAGGACAGACAGCGAAAGAGTCCAATTCACAGTCCAGACACGCCTCCCTTTGTTTCAGCTTCTCTCTTCCCTCCGTCCCTGTCTCCTGAGGACAAACCCACTAATCCCTCCTTGGCTTTCTGCCATCTCCCTTCTTGCTCCTGGAAGTGGACTTGTTTCTCTTTCCCATCATAACCGTCTCCCTCTTTCTGACTCCTGGGTCCCTCTCATGTCCCCTCCCACCGTTATCTGATTTCCTGCACTACCTAAGTCCAGTCCCCCTTCAAGTAAGTCAGACCTAGGATAGAGGGTGTACCCCACGGGATTTGCTATTCATGCCTAGGGGTAGTATGGACTGTCTAAAACGACCCCTGTGATCTCTCCCGCACTTGGCAATCCTGGAACACTTAGGCAATCTGGCTCTCTAATATCGAGGGCAAGATGAGTTGCTGGCCCTCAAAACACAGAAGAGGAAACTAATGACCAGAAAGACTGAGTAGTTGGCCCTGGATCATGCAGCTCAGAGGTGACAAAGCCCAGGCACTGGGATTCTAAGGCTCCCGTTCTTCCTCTGCGAGGCCCATTCTTTCTGCTTCCCTTTTTACTCTTCCAGCTCCACAGACTCTCAGTCCCAGAGAGAGAAGGGCAGAAAGAAAGAAATCTGTGGTGTCCTTGCCCCCTCTCCTCAACTGCGTTAGCTTGATAAATGGTTGAATGTCTCCCTTGAGAGAGAGGTAGATCTTTGTGACCTATAGGCACCATTTTTTCCCTGTTTCCCCACAAAACAGCTCTTTAAAAAAAATGATGATGTTGAGTGTGACTTCTCTTGTCCCCAGCTCCTGATCTTCCAGTGAAATCCTTTAGAAGAGTCAGCAAACATGAATATTGCTACCCACCCCCAATCCCTTACCCTTGGCAGACATTACTAGTTGATCACAGAGCTCTTTCTAATTGAGCAGGGAACTAATTTCCCAGTATAGCTTATAGGGGACCAGAGAATTCAGCTGGAGATATCATGACAGACGCCCAGAATACGAGATAATCTATATGATATCGGGGCCAACAGGGCAGTAGCAGAGATCAATTAAATTCCTCAAGCACCCCATAGTAGAGTCTGGACTGCATTTCTCTCTGAAGCTCTTGTCCCTTCCTGCAACCAGATTCAGTAATTGCTAGACTTTGTATGTGTGTTTGAGACAGGGTCTCACTCTCTAGTCCAGGATGGCCTGGAACTCAGAATGTAGTCCATGCTGGTTTAAACGCGCAGTGACCCTTCTGTGTCAGCTGAGTGCTGAGGTTACAGGCACAGTCTTAACCACACCTGTTTTGTAATTACCAATGCAAGCGAGAATCCTCTCTGGGAGACTGAGAAATCTGTGGTGGCAGTAGGGGCAGGCAAGGCATGTCTTGGCTTCTTGTCACCCTAAGGGTCTACCCTAGCTAGGGATCAGCACAGAGCAGCTATTGAGTCAGTGTCTATCCAAACAGTAAAGGGTTAAGAGACTGAGAAGGCGGCTGGTGTGGATAGGGTCTCAGGGGTCCAGGGTTTGGTTGTTTACTGGTTGGGAAGATCTAGAGGCTGTGACTGGGCCCTGGGAGATCAGCACCGCCCCTGCCACTTCCCATCAAGGCCTGTAGCAGTGAGAGAGTCTTGTTACCCGGTGACCCGAGATGAGCAATTAAATTGAAAATTAGTTGGCATATTAATTAGACAGGCAGATCATTCCCTGTCAACACCAATCCATTCCATCTGCGTAAAATCAGACCAGCGAAGGCAGGGCAGGGTGAGGTGTTCTCCAAGCCGTATCTGCTGGAGGCCAAGGCAGTGGGCGGGGAAGAGAAGTATTGTGGGGGGTTCCTGCCAGGTGCCCCAAGCCCCGCTTATCCACAGAACCTTCTCCATTTGATTTTCAAGGAAACCACCTTCTAGTTTGGTCTCACTTGGGCCCATCTTCAGCATCTGACAAAATCCCAGAGCCAGTCCCAGAATCCCCCACTGTGACTCAGTGGGTCTTTTGTTTCCCACCTTTTGACTCCAGATCCATTCCTTGAGGTTTCTGACATGAACAAAGACCTAGTTTTCCCTAGTAAACACCAAGGAGCTTTTAAAAAATTGTTATTACTTACATGTGCTAAAATTCATTCTTCTGAATGCGCTACTCTGAGCTTTAAGACCCACGGCTGTATAGCCACCACCATAACCAAACAACATTTCCATCACCATTCAAATCTCTGGGTCCTTCCAAGGTCATAGCTTCTCCTTCCTCAGCCCTGGGAAACCACCAATCAGGTGTCTATTCCTAAAATATTTTGCTTGTTCTTGAATGTCTCATTAATAGAAGCACACAGGCTTAGACTTCTGAATCTGGCTTCTGACTTCTTTTGCTTAGCATAACGCACTGTGATTCACCCATCCTGGGCATCAGTAGCCAGCTAATTTTTGTGGTTGTGTAGTATTCCATTGTGTAGTTATACTATAGTTTGTTTATCCACTTCCCAGAGAAAGGACGTTGGGTTATTTCTCACGTGAAGTGTTTATGAATAAAACCGCTGTAAATAATTAAATGCAGAATTTAATGCAAACAAAGTTTATATAAATCAGGTAATTGTCTAGGACAATACTTCTAAGTATCATGGTAGATGTTCTTATAGCTGTGTAAGAAACTGCTGCACTGTCTTGTAAAGTCTGAACTAATATGTATGCCCATCAGCAATGAATGAGACTCTGCTCCACATCGCTCATGCATAGACGTGTGTGTATGTACACGCACGTGCATGTATATGTGTATATATATATATATATACATATATACATATATATACATATATATATATATATATTCAAGTCTGTGCACACCTGCTGAGTGTGTGGAGGCCCAAAGTTAATGGCAGGATATTTTCCTCAGTTTCTTCTCCATCTTTTCTTCAAAGTCTCTTTGAGCTTGGATTCTCTGATTCAGCTATCCTGGTTGGCCATGGAGCCCCTGGGATCTGCCCACCTCTCCACCCCCAGGGCAGGGGCTGTAGATGCATGCCACCATGCTTGACTTTACGTGACTTCTGGGGGTCTGAACTCAGCTCCTCAGGCTTGCATAGGAAGCATTTTACCCTGTGGGTCATCTCTGTTCCAGTGTGTAAATTTTAAGGAATAAATCCACGTGTTGCTGGTGACCACGGTTACACAATTTGCAAACACAATAACAAAATACGAACATGGATTCCCTTGTGCAAAACAGAAGGAAAGAAACCCCATAGATGATATCGAGCTAGAGGCCTTTGTCATTCTTCTGGGGACTTTCTCTTGGCTTCTCATGGGTTGTTTATTTTGCTTCGTAAATGTGCTCTTTGATGTCTAACTGTGTTGTGTGGTGTGTTTACCTGTGTGTGCTGAGCAGAGATAAAGATCTAGACTCAGAGTAGGACTTACAGGCTCAGGGTTGCAAGCGTTATCTCAGCCACTCCACGAACGCCTGCCGTAGATGTGGAGAGGCTGGCGTGCCATGGTTCTGGGAAAGCTGAGCAAGAATGAATGCCTACCAGGCCCCTGACCTTCTAATAAGAGGCACTTTGTAATCAGACTTTCTCTCTGACTGTTGAGTAAGTTAATGGAAGGCCGCTAAGGCAGATGAGGCAACTCTGTCAAGGGGAGTTGTGCAATTTCAGGCACAGTGTTATGTTTGAGGGAAGGTCTGGGAGCCGATTCCACTGATAGAAATGGAAAGGAACGGTGCTTGGGCAGCCCAGCCCTGTGAGCTGGCATGTCAAAGCCACACACCCATTAGCTCTGTGAACCGGGGGCCCCATGGCTCTGTGCGCCAGCACTGTCTGTGGTGACAGGAGTCACTGCCCCCTGCAACTGCTGCTATATGGGTTGGAACTGGAACAAAACTCCTGCCCTATCCTGGGTCTGAATTTGGAAGGAGCAGGCTCAGCTTTGGGCCCCAGGGCTGCTGCGCCCACAGCCCACACCCACCGCCACCTGTCCCACCTGGCAGTAGGTGTGGAGTGGGAGGGTGCTGTCGGGTGAGCATGTAACCCTTTCTTCTCCGGCTAGGGGTTCT